TGAGTTCTACAATTTCAAAGAAGAATTGATAACTTCTAATCAACTCTTCTTGAGCTCTCCCAAGAATTAAAAGAAGAGGCAACACTTCCAAAGAGATTTATTTAATTGAACATACACTAATACCAAGCCATGTAAGGACACACAAAAATGACAGATCAGTGTCCCAGAGGAACATATATGGAAAAATCTTCAATGATATTCTAGGAAACGTACCAGCAGAAAGGAAGGATAATATACCATGATCAACTGGGATAACATACTAGCCTGCAAAGATGGTTCAAAGTATGTAAATCAGAAAACGTGATACATCTCATCCACAGAATAAAAGATAAAGTATACCATCATATAATTAGATACAGAATAAAGCCTTTAAAATTTAAAATCCCTTCAGAATTACAATTTTTAACAAATGAGGTGTACAAGTGATGGAACTCAATATAATAAAGGCCAAATTTGAGATGCCAAGTGACATCATGCTACACAGAGAAAATTTCAAAGCTTTTTTTTTTTCTTACTTCAGGACCAAGACAAGGGCTCCCCTGTGACTAGTTGTTTTCATCAGAATTAGAAGTCTTTGTCAGAATAATTAGACAAGAAAAATAAATTTAGAATGTCTAAATCGGAAAGAAGTTAAAATGTTTCTCCTTATCTGAATGCAGATGACATGATTTTCTACATAGAAAACCCTGAAAACTGTATGAGAAGCTAATAGAACTAGAATTCAGGAAAGATGTCAGATATAAAACCAACACAAAAATGTCTTGTGCTCCTGCACACTCTCATCAAAGTGTAATTATGACTCTAGGAAATATGAGGTCTGTTTCAGAAGAAAGTGAGAAAAGAAAAGTTGAACTGGCTAACATCAAGGAGATGACAACCTAATGAAACACAGATCCTGGACATGTGTGTCCTTAGTCTTGGTTAATCTCCCATCATGTTTCCAAGGAGCTTTCCTCTCAATGTGGCACTGAGTCAGGTGCAGGTTCCAGTTGACCCCATCATTGATGAATATGGTCACATTTGTTATAAGGGTCAAAAGTTTTCCAATAACAAGATTTTCATTACTTAAACATAATTGCTTCCTCATCTTTACCTACAGCTTCACCACAACATCCTAGTTTTGATTGAGTTTCATCTACATAACCAATGATAGACACAAGTCTCACAAGTGAGCATACAGAATAAACTCCACAAAGGAGGCTGTGCAGTGGCTACACGTCCAGCACCAAATGCCCCTGAAGGTCTATTACCCAGGAGCTCTGTCTGTGTCTATAAAGTTCATGCTTCTGGCTCCCAGGAACCCACACAGAAACTCCTCTCTAACCCATCAGCTTGTTTCACTGGCTCTAGGTGAACACTTTGGTCTTAGTTTATCCTCTGATCACTTTGTAGGGGAAACCGTGTCAGATGGGACTCTGTGTCAAATGGGACTTCCTGTGTCCTGAACATGAACCTCCTGCACATTTACTTCTTTCTTGCATTGCTTTCTCTTGATCTCATTACTGGTCATGGCAAAAGGCATCTCTCATTTTAAATCTTCTCTCTTCTTTTTTATGAGAAGTTTTTCTCCTGCGTCTTTGTATAGGTCACCTGCAGTAGTTAAATCCAGTGGGGGGAGAAAACAGGCCCAGATGTGGAAGGTAATCCCATCTAATAAAAGAGTAATATGCAAGTTGACCATCACTCCAACACACAAGATGGCCACCCCATGTGGCCACAAGATGGCCAGCAGGGGAGGGCAGTTGTGGGCAATCAAGCCAGCAGGGGAGGGCAGTTAGGGGCGACCAGGACTGCAGGCAGGGCAGTTGGGGGTGACCAGGCCTGCAGGGGAGGGCATTTGGAGGCAACCAGGGAGCAACCAGGCTGGCAGGGGAGGGCAGTTGCGCGTGACTGGGCTGTGACAAGGCCTGTAGGGGAAGGCAGTTGGGTGCAGCCGGGCTGGCAGAGGAGGGCATTTGGGGGCAATCAGGCTGGCAGGGGAGTGGTTAGGGCCAATCAGGCAGGAAGGCAGGTAAGGGGATGGGAGCCAGCTGTCCTGGATTGTGAGAGGGAAGTCCGACTGCTGGTTTAGGCCCAATCCCATGGGCCTAAACCAGCAGTCAGACATCCCCCGCAGGGTCACAGATTGGAGAGGGTGCAGGCTGGGCTGAGTGACACCCCACCAGTGCACGAATTCCATGCACCGGGTCTCTAGTTCTTAATAAACAGCATCCTTGGATATGTCATACTCTAAGACCATGACTGTAGTGTCAGTGTCTAACTTTAGAGCCCCCTTTATAGCAGGAGGACATGCAAATAAGGGACTCTCTGCTCATAAAAACCAACCCAGCTCAAACCTGCAGCTCTGGGACAGGAGCCCAGCCCCAGGATCCCCAGGTGTTCCCAATCCCTGATCAGGACTGAACACAGACCACTCACCATGGGTTTGGGGCTCAGCTGAGTGTTCCTTGTTGCTATTTTGGGAGGTAATCTATGGAGAACAAGAAACACTGAGTATTGTGAGTGGATATGAGTAAGAGAAACAGTGGACTTGTGAGAGTTTCCTAATGAGGACATTTCTGTGTTTGCAGGTGTCCAGTGTGAGGTGCAGCTGGTGGAGTCTGGGGAAGACTTGGTGCAGCCTGGAGGGTCTCTGAGACTCAACTGTGCAGCCTCTGAAGTCACCTTCAGTGCCTACAAAATGAACTGGGTCCGCCAGGCTCCAGGGAAGGGGCTAGAGTGGGTCTCCTACATTAATGGTGGTGGTGGTACTGCATACTACGTGGCCTCTGTGAAGGGTCGATTCATCACCCCAAAGACAATGCCAAGAACATGCTCTATCTGCAATGAACAGCCTTAGAGCCAAGGACACCGCCGTGTATTGCTGTACAGCAGACATAGTGAGGGGAAGTCAGTGTGAGCCCAGACACAAACCTCCCTGAGAGAGGCAGCAGGGCTGGGCTGCAGGAGGCGCTTGGGAACACCAGGGGGCGCTCAAGACCAGCAAAGAGCCAAGACTTGGAGCAGGTGGAGAGTTAAGCAAAAATAAGATTTCCTGCTCCGTCTTAAATTAGTTTTGCTCCAAGGCTCAGAAACAGAGCTCACAGAAAGCCCTTTTTCTGTATCTCGTTTTAGGGATTATATTTGTGAGCAAAAATAAAGGGTTTTGTGGTAAATTTGACAAAATTCAGTGACTGGAAAGAACCTCCCAGGGGCTGCCATCACACATTCCTACCTGGGCAGTCCTGGGGGTGGACACGCCCCAGGCCTATAACTTATTTATTAAAAGGCTCACCTTTCCCTTGAACAACCCCATCCATCGTTCCTGTGCATCTAGGTTGACACACCTGTGATATCAGCATGATCACCCTCAGGAGAGCACCTCCTGGTAACTGTCCTGTCCCAGTCCCCGCCTTGCTCTCTCCCTCCTCCATGTCACCTTCCTCACCTTCCTGCCTTAACTTTAAATGCACAAACGCAGCTACAAATGGTTATTCTCCGTGTATTTGAGGTCTTGCTCCCCAACTGTTGTCAGTTTGGCTCTAATAGAAGCTTGTAAAGCATTCTCTTCATGTTTGGGCATTTCTTACATCAATATATTATCTTTTCTTCATTTAATACATGCTGTAACTGGACAATGAGTTTGTGTTGCTTGTAACTAGTTGAGCCAATTAAGCAGAGACAGAGTTGAATCATATGTAAGCGTTTATTCCAATACTGTGTGCAATATGGGATAGCAGCCACTCATCCACAAAAGTCTGCTCTGCACCCACCAGAAGCCAGCCGCTTGTATTGGGTAAAGGACAGAGGGTCACATGGGGGAAAAAGCCAAAGAGTATGACA